GAATTAAATAAGAAGGTGCTCATCAAGCGCTTAGCACAAACTGGGCCCTGAGTGAATGAAGGTGTGGAAAAGTAGGGGGCATCTGTAATACTTTCAACATTAAAGATTTTTTTAAAAAAAAGAATGAATAAGAAATGAGTTTCATGACAAAAGTTCTAACTATAAAAGAATGAAAATTGTTAAGAAAAAATACCTGAATATGTATTTGATACATGATATAATTGATTCAAAGTATAAAGAAGAAAATTGCCAAGTTTATCTGACAATATAATTACATTGAAATCATTTAATATATTCTCTCAATAAAATAGACTATTTATTAGCATTCAACATCTTCAAAAACATTAATAAAAAAGTTCTATGAAACTATAGAAGTATTCATTAAAAAATGCATGTGCTTTTAAGTATATACAATCAAACATAACAACCCCATATTGAGGAAGTACATTCAATCCTTTGAGATTTTGCTTCCCAGCATTGACAGTTTGGCTCAAATAAACTCACAAAAATTCCCAATAGGTTTGAATGAGATAATGCTTCAGATAATGGCAGTTTTGCACCTTATTTTAGACATTACACTCAAAACAGAAGACGTGAGTTACCTGAAAGCCATTGGTGAGAGATTAGGGAGAGGGGAGAAAGCAAAGTGGATGAAAAGTAAAATGGTAGATACACACACTTTCACGTAGGTGGGTACAGGATAGTTAACAGTCGGCAATTAACATGACAACACTAACAATGAGAGGAAGTATGGTCTCCACCCAAGGGCATTAGTTGTGCCCTGAGGGACCTGGAAAAAGGGGAGTTACCCTGACATTGCAAAGGTCTGTTATCATAGATGCAAAAGACAACCGACAGGCTTAGTTAAGGTAAAGATGGACGTTGTCAGGGAAGATTCTAGCCTAGGACAGGACTACCTGGCATAAACTATAATTTAAAAGTTTTCGTTTTAGACCATCCTTTGTGGTTACTTTAGGTCTCTGAGTGTGCAAGGGAGCTTCAGGCAGCAGGCCTTCCCTGAGTTTGTCAGAGTAGCATGTGGCCCCTTTCCATCCACTCCACCTAAAGCCAGGGGAGGGGGGAGGGGAGAGTGCGAGGGGGGAAGGGAAGGGGAGGGTGATACAGGCAAAAGCGAACTAAAGTACATTTCCTTCTAGAGTAAAATATGTACCTAATTCATGAACACATCTCATAGTAATTAGACTGAGGAGAGTCCTTTCGACCAGGCCAGGACTTCCCGCCAGAACCCAGTGCTCTGGGATTCTTTCTCTTAAGGACAGAATGGCTGGCGGCGAGGAAGGGATGGTTGGAAAGTGTCAAGGCTGGGACTCAGCAAAGATTGCAATGGAGCCAGACTCGATTGAAGATGGTCCGGTCACATTTCATTGTCTGTGTTTCTAAACAAGGGTCAACAGTTTCATAAGTGGACTCCAACTCTTAGGTGACCCCCTCGAGGCATAAGACCCTCTCATTCCAGCATGGCCAGGCCTGCTGAGTCACCCTCAGGTTCTTGGAAATTCAATCCGAAATTTCCTGGGCCCAGTGTTCGCAAAGAGCTGAGCACAGCCAGCCCACACCCAGGAAAAGGGTCTATTTGAATGCAAATAGCCCAGGCGCGGTAAGGTTTGGCTGAGTTCAGGGTAGTCTGGCTGATCCTCCCGCCTATTGTCACTCAGACGCGAGGGGGCGGGGTCTAGGGGAAGTACCCAATCAAGGATGCCGCTGGGCCGGGTGGGTGGGGTGAGGCGCCGAGGGGCGTGTCCGTGCTTTCCGGCTCCAAGCCTTGCGGGGGTTGGCGAATCCTCTCGTCCTAAACAGTCCCCGGTGGCTCGGCCGCACCCCTTGTGCCATCTGCACCGGTCGTAGGGTTCGTAGGAAGGACTCAGGGAGACCCCGGACACCCCGAAATGGTGAGTGTGCGGGGGCCGGATCAGGAGACCCGGCCGAGGGGCTGGTGGAACCATGGGCGGCACGGCCTCCCCTCGGTCAAGTGCGGAGTCTTCGGACCCGAGCCCCCCGGGCGCGCCGCCAGGACCTCCGTCCCCTCCAGCTCGCGGCGCGGGGGCTGAGCCGGCAGCCCCGCCGGGCGTCCTGTCCCGCCCCCGCGCGGGCACTTAGACCCGCTCCGATCAGCTCTGCGCGCACAGCCCAGCATCCTTCCAGGTTGTGAGGTGACCACGTGGAGGGTCGTGGGGGCCGCAGTACTGGGCCTCCCGGAATTCCGACGTGGGCGGAGCTGTGGTCCGTGAGGTCCCCGGTCCCAACTTTCACCTCCGAGCACCTGTTTTCTCCGCCGTCTTCCAAATGTTTGCGAAGCAGAGTCTGAAACTCACGACCCTTGCCCACCCCCGACCCCCCAGCCGCCGC